TATGAGATTTAAATCGAGTGCTTTATTAACTCAAGTGATAAAATCACCAAGTTATTCATTAAATACAAAGATCGTCCTGTCGAATCCAAGATAGAGAGATGACTTGAATTTATTACTTTCATATTTCAATCTCCACAAATAATACTAAGCCCAACTCTACAGTGTTGTCATGTGTATGTAACCAGAATAAAAAATAAGAGATGGGTTGGTAGATTTTTTAAACGACTACAAAAAAATAGACGTTCGGTTGTATGTATGTTTTATATATGTTTTTCGATTTTGAAAATTCCTTTATGTTTTAAAGGTTGCACTCTCTTGGTGGTCCCGTTGTCACCTAGTCAGAATGTGATGAGAGGATCCCATAGAAATCGAGGGAAATCCTCAAATTTTACAGGTATGTCAGTGTATTCACCAATTTCTTCGTCAATTGTGGACCGAGTTTGAAAATTCTTTTTAATACTGTCTAATTAATTGTCTCAAATATCTTGACATTCCCGAGACTGAATACATCAGCCTCGGGTCTAGCAAATGCCAAAACAATCGTCGCGTATTGATGTTTTAGGGATCGAGAGACCTTAATCAGTAGTTACTAGGATTTTTATTCCGTGTGCTGTAATTCTTGGTTCAACCAAATACTACACTGAAAAATACAATGTCCAGTAATAAACAAGATGTTAATGTTTATGGTGATCATATAACTTGTTACCTTGTAACACGTTTTGAGTTATCAAATACGATGATTGCAACAACAATTTTAGTGAATTATATTGGGATTGATTCCGTCAAGTATCTCGATAGACTAACTTGGTCAAAGTCCATGTTTTTCAGTGCACGTCTCAAGGTCGATCACAACACTGAACAAGGTTCTTTAACACGTATATCTATCTATTCAACGTTCGACGATGGCCTACATTATCTCCTATATTGATTTATAGACAGTTATGAAACACAATGTATGTCTGTTCTATCTATTTGTAGTAAAGGGAACGTAGTGGTGTAGAAACAATATAGCGCCGTGTTGTGATATTGAAGTAGATAAGAATGACTGTATTGTCCATTTTGTAATGAATAGACGTTTCTTGAAATTTGACGGAAAAAGCTATTTATAAATCTCAATTCAGAAAGTTTAAATATTAAATTAAATGGGATTTATTCATCAAATACATACATCGCACTGTAAATAGGGCATGAACTCAAAAAATAATCGCAGTACAAATTACTAAAAAAAAACAACCTGAAAAGTTGGTGGAATTACATATATTTGTCAATTTTTATTGAAATCGGTTACTGAAAAGTCATCCGGTTACTGAAGATTCATCCCCTAGTTCGCCACCCTTAGAGGCGAAATATTTTCTTCAAATTGAAATGGGACCATTACTAAGTGCGCTCTTTACATAAAAAAAGAATTATCAAAATCAGTTCACTTTATCCTGGGGGCGTATTATGAACTTTTAAGGCTCAACTCACACTGGAGCCGAAGCGTCGTGGCGCGTCATGTTTTTGGCGCCTATAGTATATTCATCTCTACATTCCCATTATTAAGGTACAAATTTGTGTTATGCAAATATGGAAACGGGCGCCGACGCAATCGACGCTTGGATGCAGACGAGCGGCTTTGCGCGTCACTTGAACGCAATGAGGCGTCAGACTGGGACCACACTGTGATCCGGGCGCACTAATGCGAGTGTCGGAGCGCGTCGCCAAGCGTTGTAGTTGAAAAACAGGACGCAACGCGACTCTTCGACTCTGCGCCAGTGTGTGTTGAGCCTAAAAAACCATGCAAGTTCCAGGCAATTCTTTTTACGCCCAAAAACTGACTGGATAAAATTCGTATTACGACATATATATTTTTCGCTGACTTCTCGCTGGTTATGGTCTATGACTGGGACATGACTAGATCGTGCTTCTCGGTGTAACGTTCAAAAACGTGGATGAATATTTACCGGTAAGTTACGGTGTTATATTTGTCACTTAATTTTGGAGAAAAATAATAGATACGTATTATTCATGTACGAAAATAAAAAAAGACGCTATATAATAATAATAATAATAATAATAATAAAGACACTACTACATAATAAAATCAATACACCATATTTTAATTTTTGTAAATAAAAGAAAAGCGCAAACTTAAGTTTCCGAACGACGACGTCAAACGTCGACGAAATTCCGCAGGTAAATGTTTACTTTGTAGTTTGTTGAAAACATGTCAATAATATTTTAAGAATATTTGAGTATAAATTAAATTGTAAGAAATTATACTTCGCTTTAGTGAAAAATAACCTTAGTCTTACTCAACTAACGAATCGGTGGATTTTGTATTCCTCGACACGTGCGGTTTAAGTTCATCGCAAAGATTGTGGACCATTCTTTGCTGAGCTTTCATAAATTGTGCATCCAATTCAAACGGATCACTACGATCTCGCAGTTATCTTCTTTGGTTTTTTTCCATATTATTATCGTGTGAAGCATCACTTTCGAGACACTCAAACATTTCGTATTCATCACACATGATGAAACGATTGCCTAAAAATATATAAACTCAAAAGTATAATAATTATTATACAATTATGCACAAAACAATTCAATAAAAGCTACACCAAGACACAGTAAACTGAATGGTTTATTGATGTTACTTTTTGAGAGATCAACCGTGAACAAAATGTCAAAATAACGTTTGCAATACGATATTGCCAGCCAAACTTCGGGCAGAAGACAGCCTAGTGTCACGTGACCGCTGACTGGCTGGTATTACTAGTTCATAATACGAAATTACAAGGCAGTGTACGGCGTGAACTGCGTGGAAATAAGTGTTCATATTAGATCCCCTGATATTATTTATGACAGAGAACCTCCTCCTTTTTTCGAAGTCGGTTGAAAATGTTTTTTTCTGTAAAATATTTGGTCTCTTGCCACTTAGCCGGGTTTAAATTGGTGGACGGCAGTACAAGACCCCGGACGTGCTCACCCAGCGCCCACTGTGCACTGTTGCGTCACCTTTAGCACGACTAACTGTCACCTTTAGCACGACTAACTGTCACCTTTAACAAGATAGGACTTACTATTTTGGCGGAAAAAGTAATTAACATTATTTTCATATTCTATTTTGTGATGTAAATAAATTACTCCTTGTCATCGAAATTGTAAGTTATGATGACAATTAGTAGAGGAAGCGCCACATACCACATAAATACTTTCTTCCGTGGGAAGCGCTTTTGATTGATAAGATAGGTGTAAAATACAAGTGTATTGTTCGTTTATCATATCAGATACCGGCTCACGCTCACTATAATAGCGGAGTTTACTTGTAAAAACTGATATGTATTATCTTATATTTCAAATATGTCTTAATGCGTAGATTATTGTTACTTATTTGTTGAGAATTGGCTATAACCATCTACTAAATAGATTCTTTTTTATGATACAATATGACGGGACGAACATGTCGTGTACGTGGTTGTAAGCGACACGTCTGTCCATAATAGTTGCAGTGCTTCAAATGCAAAGATCTGAGGGTGCTACTCTGAATTCTATTTCCAATATGTTGACGAAAAGGATGAACCTTCAGTGTAGTGCTGTTTTTCAGCCTCCACCTGTGTTATCTGTCGGACAATGCGGAGTTTACAGAGTAGCTTCTTCTTCCGCGATTTAAATTGTGATAATAACATAGGCCAATCTTTTTTAAATGATTAATTATTTCAATGCTTCCGAGTAATTGATTATAAGAGGTCGAGTGTAGTTCGTACACAACTATAAAACAATCCAAACACATGTTGTACAATGATCGCTCGACAACAATACGCCATTGACACTTGACGCTCAATTGTTCTATACAACAAAAATCGATATAGTAGCGACGGCAATTCATTCTTCTCGAAACTTGGAACCCGGTTTTAGGTGCAAGGGATATTGCAGTCAAAAAAGTATTTGAGGACGCCTTTTATATACGAGAGCGGTTTGATAAGTACGTGACTTTAAAAAGAAAAACTTTTTTATAAATTATGGTTTATTTTTCTACGTAAGCTCCTATTAACCAGGGATATCCCAACTTCTTCAACCCATCAAATTTTTTTTTTGTCAAACTGAAAAATAAGATCCTCATTTGATGAAAATCGGCAAAAAAAGTTAAGATAAAGAAGCAAATAGGGCCAAATCTGGTGAATACGGGAGATGTGAGATAAAGAAGCAAATAGGGCCAAATCTGGTGAATACGGGAGGTGTGACAGTTTTGATGTCCAGTTTGAGCAGTTTGAACACGACAGGGCGCGACTAGCGCGAGAGCGACACAAAGAAAAAAAAAGAAAATACATTTATTCAGCGCAAACACATGTTACAAGTACAATATGATTTTATGCTTAACGTGTATTGCACTGAAAAGGGCCCAACTCAGCAAATAATGCGGCTGAGCCACAGCGCTGGTTTTCAGTGGGCCCTTTCAAAGTGGCCGATTTAAAAATAAAAATTACAAATAAAATAAAAAATAAAATAAAAAATAAAATAAAAAATCGTGGACGCGCATTAAAGTAGGCACAATATATAAATAACTCAATTAGATCAGAAAAATAAAATTGTCGTATGCCTCCAGCGTTTTCAATTGGTTCACTGTCTTTATGTATTTTATGTTTCTCTGTGCGTTATACAAATAAAATTTCTCCAGGCGTATTTTGCAGTATTAAAATGTGCTCTCTGAGTTTATTTTTGAAAGTATAAACAGATTGTGAAGAACGCACTGGTGGCGGTTTATCGTTCCAAATTTTGGCCGCGGAGTATTTGAAACTGCCTGTATATGTCGAAGTTTTATGTTTTAGAATGCAGAGTGGAAACCTGCTGATGCGTGCTCTTTTCCATAGTCTAAGGTAAGAAGAAGAGTTCTAAATTAAGAAATAAAAATAAATACCGAAAAAAGTTTTTATTTAACCTTCGAGTCGCGTATTTATCAAACCGCCCGGTAGAAACTTTCAGAAAACTTTAAAAAATTCTGAAATATCCGTAAAACTTACCTTCAGACTTGGAAAGGCAAAGGTAATGGCTAGGTTTCTTCCCAAATAGTCCATTTTGCTTCAAAAGACCAGCGTCTGCGTCTTCGTCGTAAGTTCTACTGACTGGCCAGTATCCAGTGGGACATTTTGCTACACTCTCCACAATTTGTAGCGACAGTAGAGGTCGTTCGTCTGGCAACGCGCTTCCTAGAGCGCTGAGCACCTTCGACATTGTGACTTAGGACATGTTCTATTTAGTCCTTGCTTATGCAATAGATCCCGTATCGACCTGCTTGTGGTACCTGTAACAAAACGAGACTCCTGTCAGATTATTATTGCAATTATGATAATATTTGTTATTACTAAAATCTAGTTGCAATGGCAGTTGAGTCCCAGTAGAGTGTCAGTGCAATGGCAATGATGGCATTCATTCACTCATTCAATCACTAACGATCGACGTTACCTTACCAAAAGTACCAAGAAAATTACTATGCACATAATTTTTTTTAACGGACTTCAAAAAATGAGGAGGTTCTCAATTTGACTGTTTTTTTTTGTGTGTATGTTACGAGAGGAGAAGGGGAAAATGTTTGGACATTTGTTGCGTAATGACGTGAAAGTGATAATTAAGGGGAGAATAGAAGGGAAAAGAAAAAGCGGAAGACCGAGAATGGCGCATAGTGAACAAATAAAAAAGAAGATCAAAGTGAACAGTTATAAAGAGGTCAAAGAACTGGCTATGAACCGTGAGGAGTGGAGAAGGCTACACCGATAAGAGGCTAGCTCTTAAATAAGATAATTATGATAATGATGATAATGGTGATGATGTATGTTACGCCATTACTCAGGCATTTCTGAACCGATCACGATGATTCTTTTTTGTTGTGAGATGGAAAAGCGCAAAGCAAAAAAAAATCTGAAAAAGGAATGAATGAATGAAATACTCTTTATTGTACATTAAAATTACAATGACAACAGTAATGTAAGTAAGCTAATGTACAACAGGCAGGCAGGTAGGAAAATTGTCACCCCAAACCGAAATTTCCGAACAAAAAGCGGACAGAACGTCATAATGCCGGACACGTCCGGATAAATGACGGATGGTAACCCTATTTGACAGTGACGCATTATTCATTAATGTGATTTGTGGAAACAAAACCGCAAGCAAACACGCACTAGTCAATTAAAAACAAAATGAATAATATAATACTCCTCTTGAAGAAATTAATAAGTATCCCATTTAAAACTTATAACAATCGGAATAGGAAAAATGTAAACATTAAGTAATACGCATAGGGTGGACACCTCCCTTCGAAATGACGGAATTATTAAAAATAGACGACAACAGAATACACACATCAAAATTGTTTAAGGGTCACGGTGTTTTTTTAAATATTTGATTACTCTATTAAAATTAAATAAAAGTATCTATATAAATTTATTAAATTATGAAATTAACCCAAAAAACCAACGCTGTTAAAAAAAGTTAATTTATAATTACAAAACATTTGCTCAGATACGCTAGCGTAATGAAATAATTGCTAATTGTCAAAAATATGGAACAAAATATGTACAATATGTCAATGTACAATACAATGATTCCGGGATTTCGGAGGGAGGTGTTATCTACCCTATGTACATTACTTCCTTGAAGTTGAAGTTTAGGTACTGACTATTCCGATTTCTAATTATAACACAAAGAACCTAGTACTCGGGCCCTACCGTAGGACTCGAGTATTGGAACATAAAATATCACACCTCTGTCTGGTGAATGGTCAATTTGAGAAGTGGTCTTTTTTAATTGTGGCCCAAACCCTAAACACTAACAGTGACTTACATTTGCAAAATTTACAGAAAATGTGTTAAAGGTTTTATGTTTAGGACTGACTAAACTCTTCAATGTCTTACATACTATTTCAATATTCCTTGCGCGCTCTAATGCATAATGTGTCTCTGCTTTTTGTCACAATTTTTCGCACTTGTCTTTTTTTACCAAATTATGCGACTAACAAGTTATGCGTGGTAACGCCTGTTCATAACAGTTGCAGTGTCAATCAGAGCTTAAAATCGCGAATATTTAAGAGACACTGCCACTGGGCCCGTTACCCTGAGACATAAGTTGACAAGTCCCATGTGCCTGTAATTTCACCAGCACCCTTACCCATCAAAATCGGAACATATTAATGTTCACATTACTGCTTGCCAGTAGAAATAGATAAGGTAGCAGTACTTCCCTGGACGAACTTGTAGACATATGTCGATTATTGTGTTTATTTATTTGATTTCATACCTTTCTTGTTATTTTGTATGTTTTGTTTTGAGTTTTTTTTGTCTTCTTTCTTTCTTTAGCTATTTGTTGTTTCATATTATTGTGTGTGCTTGTGGTAACTCAATAAACGTATTCTATCTATCTCTATCTAACACACTTTTTCTCTTTCACAAGGAGCTCTCCTAGGAGCTACCAAAACAATTACTACAAAAAATATGTGGGAACGCCGAGCCTGAAGGCCCTAATAGAAACCAAAATTGAAAATCACATAAAGTATATAATGCGTGCATAGTGTCAATGACATTATTGAAGACAAGTGCATTCACCTCTTATAAATTCGTTATTTAGCCCCAGACTCCAGACTCCGTCTCGACGTTGTACATATTCGAGTGGATATATCTCAGTTACTCTCTTTAGTGGCAGATTCTATGATCCCTTTGTCTACGCGATGCACGGGAAACGCATTGTTTAAAAACAATTTGCATTAATATTAAATATTCAGTATTTATTAACAAACATGCGAGTCCGCAATAACATTTACCTGGTTATTGCGTAGTTAAAAACTTAAAAATGGGGAACAAGTAATAAACAAAAATAAAACAGTAAATTAAACAGAAATATGAAATTGTTTTATATATTAAAAAATCATAACAAAACAAAGCTGTTTTAAGAAAACAAAGAACCTAATATATGTATATACGATTTTGGAGGACCTAATACAGAGAGACTATATTTCTTTCTTCAAATATTCCTATATTGCGTAATGAATATAACACCAAACTAATATGTGAAGAAGAACCTTAATTTATTATATAAAAAACAGTACATATTGTGCATTAGAAAATAATAAATAAATATATTTAATACGTAATCTTTCTGAAACTGGAAAATATAAGAATGCAGGTTTTTTTTCATTTGTGCATATGCGTTGTATAGTTCTCGAAAATTAATTATCATATTTGCTCTGACATTACGATTGTTAATTTTCAGTCGGTTCTTAACCATTATGGGCTATGGCAGAATAATTTATCTTTTGTAGGTGAGTCAGGGACCCAGTCAACATATCAACGCAGCACCACAAAAAGTATCTTTATACTTAATGTCTTTGCTTATGTTTAATTAAATAATCTGTGGTGTAATTTAGTTTTCGTTCTGTTTGTTATTTTTTTTGATAATTATCATTATTTTTTATATTTTTGTTTATCTTATTATTATTTTTGTTTATGTTGTTTTTTTTTCTTCTTGTGTGGTGTCATTAAAATTTGTGGTATGCAAATAAATGTATTTTGTTTCATTCTTTCTTCTACATAGGTAATATTTGTTTTGTGTTTCCATTTATATTCCATTTTTTATTATATCCATAGAATATTTGTTTTTTATAGATAGTAAAAGTAGTCATGAACATTTTGAAAAAAATATGAAAATGATAAATATGTACAAAATGTAAATGATAAATGTGTACAATAGTTTATTTACAAAGAGCAAGCCCAGAGTTTCTTGCTCATTCTCTTCAGGGGAATCTACCTTACGAATGACAGTAGAGTTTAATCAATACGCCAATTTCAAGTGTAGTTTGCTACCTATGAAGCAAAGATTAGGTATTTATTTGAGTTTGACTTTATAATGAACGTTCGATACACAACAAGGAAAGATGAAACTGAAGCTTTGAACAAATCGCTATGATTACTCACGACTCACATTAATCCCTCTAAGGACTAGCGCAAACCAGCAGACGGCGAGGGGAGAGCACAAGAGAAGATTTTATGCCCGCCAGCGCACATCGATGAGGATATTACTACGATACCGCGAACTTCCGCCAGTATACCACATCCACTAGCGCCTACGTATACTACAACGGTAATTAACGAAATGTAAACAAACCGTAATGAAGTACTTTACGGGGCATTACCTGGTTACTTATTATAAAATTATAATGAACTTTTTGAAATGGTTCAAAATATATGAGAATATAATCAGGTAATATACAACACTTCGAACTACCTATTTAAAATAGTACTAAATATATAACATAAATATCATATTTAAATGAAAATATTTAATAACACGTATCACAATTCTAGGGTCGGCGGACTATAGCACATAGGTAAAAAAAGTGCTTCATTTGTTAATATACAATTATATATTTTTTGCGTTGTTTATAGTGTTGCAAGATGTGAAGAGAATGATAAATTTGAAAAAGACGCCTCTAGAATAAAGTTACAAATTTATGAAGTAACAAAGGAATTGGACTTATGGGCTTTAGCTAGTAGTTGTATTAATTTAAATGAATGTTTGATTTTGAGTTATGTGTTTATAGCCTGCCGACTCAAGAATTTTCCTACGATAAACAAACTTAAAATCTAGCGTTTAAAAAGATGATAGCCAATAACATGCCACCAAATTAAAGAGTGTAGCAGTAATCAAAAAAAAACCAAAAATCATTTATTCTCAGACAACTACAGTCCATATTTTACAGTTATAATATTAGCTTAGATAATTCAATAGGTTTACACACATTAAAATAAACAAAAGGCAACTTAAAAACATAGAATAATTAAACAAATTAAATTAAATATCAAATAAATCATCGACATGGTTTTAAATGCAGTTTCATGCAATGTAGCATAATCGGGCAATCCACTCTACCAGTCACAACGCGCAGAATCTCATTCGTGCCGCAACGGGTACGACTTATTAATGAGGCAGCTCTCTTTCTTAGTAATACGACGCATAAAACTCACTACTAAATATTGTATTTGGCCGGTTAACCCAGTGAGAACTGAAGTTTGTTTACTTTTAGTTAATTACCTTAACCTACCGGCGCATTTAGGCAGATCCCGGCGCACAGCGAAGGAATTTGGCGTATACCGGTGGATCCAGGCGGATTTTCTATCTATCCTATCCTCACTCGTGTTCTTTAATGCCACAGAGAGAATAAGATGATCCTAGGGCGGCCAAAGCATTGAAATTTATACTTTACTAGCTCGTGTCTGCGTACAATAAGTATTTTGAGTAGCTTACTGTACCATACTA